CTATCTATCTATCTATCTATCCCCAGATGACCCCCCCTCTCTCCACAGAGGGAGGAGAGGGAAGTGCCCCATAGCCCCATGGGGGAGGCGAGGGGGCTGAAGCTTGAACCAGGACACAGCAGCCAGGCAGCTGCATGAGGCATGTTTGACTGGTTGACCAAAGGACACCCTGTGCCAATTCACAGGGAAAGAACCCAGGAGTCCTGGCTCCCGGCCCCCTAGGCCTCCGTCCCAGAGCTCCTGGCCTAGCCCCTTACCCACCACTGCCCCAAGCAGGGCTGAAGGCTGGCTGGGTTCTCCACACCCCAGCGGCAGGGGATGGGGCCAGCTGGGAGCAAGGGGCATTAATGAGTCACCCCATATCTCCAGCACCCCGTTGCTAAGCAACCGGCTGGTTTACCGTCCTTGTCCCAGTCATTCCCAGCCCCAGGATGGATAGTGGCCAAGGTCTCGGGTTTGGCCTTGATCAAAGCCACTGCGGAGGGGTAAATAATTAACTGGCCGAGCTCTGGCAGCGCTGTCTGGGCCCCCCCTCATCAGAGCTTGGCAGGGAGGGGAGGCTGGTACGGCCCTCCCCAGCCCCCAAGTCACACCCCTGCTGTCTTCAGAGCCCGTGCGAAGGAGCAGAAAGCAATAGCTTCCCTCTGGAACCAAAGATCGCTGACGATGCCCCAGCCAAGCAAATCCCGTCCCGGCAAGAACCCTGATCTCGGGCGGGATCTGTGCACAACGGGCCCCCGAGCTCGGCCTGGGTCTGCGCAGACCCCGCCGGGATCAGGGCCCCCGCTGTGAACAAAGCTTCAATGAAACACAAGTTATGGGGCTGCAAACAGAGGTCACTTGGTGTCATTTAACGTCCTGTGTCGTACAGGAGGTCAGACTAGAGATGATCTCATCCCATCTAGGCTTAAAAATCTATGACTTTATCCAATTTCATGGCATAGGGATTTTTTTGTCACATTTCCCCCAATTTTTGTTAAAAAAAAATTCCACATTGAAATGAAAATCGCTGTTCAATTTCCAGAATGTTGGTTCTCTTTGGAAAATTCCATTTTGGAATGTTGTGACTTTTTTTCTCTTTGTGATTACTTTGAAAACATACCCTAATTTCCCCTTGTAGACATAAAAAAAAAAAAAAGATTAACACTTTTCAAGGGGGAAAAAATGACAACATTGCTAATGTGTTTTTTTCTGCCAGATTCTCACAGTTTTCCTAAAATGAAAATTTGAAAACCATTTCAAAATGAGAAAGAAAAAAAGAAAATACAAACACATTTTGTTCATTTCCCCCAAAACTTTTTTGCTTTTACAGTTTTTGCTCTGGCGAATATATAACATGGATACACCATGAAAACAGTTTCATTTTTCATTGCAATATTTCCTTGGCGATTTGGGAGGTTTATATATAAAAAAAAAAACCAAACCATTTTTTGGTTCTTTTTGGCAACAGAAAAATAAAAATGTCCAGTGATTTTTTTTTGGTTTTGGACAAAAACTTACCATTTTTTGTTTGCAGAAAATGCAAATTTCCCATGAAAAATGTGTCTAAATGTAACCCTTCTGCCAGGCGGAGCCGGCAGCATCCAGGGCCGGGTTCGATATCTTGGGGTTCCTTTTCAACAATACGACGCAAAACCGACTCAAGCCCCCACCCAGTAACCTGGGGAAATGACACAGCACCCCTGGGTGCTTCTAGGCTTACATAGAAAAAAGCCATTTCTGGTGAAAAGAATTTTTTTTTTACCAGCTCTCTATTTTTTATTGCAAAAATGGACAATTTGGTACCAAATAATAATAATAATAATAATTCCTCCACGAAAATCCCCAATTGCCAATAGATGTTGGCTGGGGATTTGCTGGTGGGGGGCGGGAGTTTGGAGCTGGGATGGGCCTGAAGCTAAGCATCTTGGGATAACAGGCCTATCCTGATTTTAGCCAAGCTAGGCCACACCGGAAGGGCACAAAGGAAACCAGAGAGACCAACAGCTGTGTTTGCCGGGCTGTGAAACTCCATCCCCGCGTAGCCACACAGAAGAGCAGCACCTTGAGGAGCAGCTAAGCGGGTGGGACAGGCTGCAGCAGCCTGCTCTGCCCCTGGGCTAGTTGGGCATTGCTGTATTTGGGTAACCCCTGCCTGGCAAGAAAGCCCCAGGCCAACGGAGGCAGGCATTGGCATTTCCACTGGCGTTTGTCGAGGAAGGTTAGAAAAACCCTCTGAGCTGCGGCCCCAGAAAGGCCTCTTGCCTCTGCGTGGTGCCGGGTTCAGGAGAAAAACGGATTGGGCGAGAAACCTGCTTATGAAACGGAGGGAGAGTTGTGCTTTCAGCCAACCCTTCTGGAGAAACAATTCATTGATCCTTCGGGGCTGTTTCGATCCTCTAGCTGGACCTCCCATAGGCCCCGGGCTGGAAAATCTCAGGCCTGGATTACTGCATGGAGGCCCGGTAATCTGCCAGAGAAACAGATCGGGTCTGTAAGAAAGAGACGCTTGATTGGGGAGGGATGGAGAAATAAATCCCGCTGATGGCTCACCCCCCGCCGGGGTAAACAGCCTCTTATTCTCTGGCTCAACGTAGCCAGATTTGGCTCCCGGCAGCTGGCGCCGGGTCCACCTTTGTCTGGCTCTGAGAAATCGCCCTTTGTCATGGCGTAGAAACCAGCGTCCCCCCCTTCCTCATGTCCTTGCTAAGCCAGGTGTATGCCTTGGGGATTGTGCAATGCACCAGCTTCTTTCCAACTGTGCATCCAGGAGAAACCGCTGCCCGGCCCACCTCTCCTCATCCGGGGCTGGCAGCCTCCCAAGAGGAAAGGGGGGCAAACCCTGGGTGTCAACAGGAAGGGGCGCATGTGATAGAGGTCGGTGCCAGCTTGGAACACAGCCCGAGAGACGCTCAGAGCGTCCCTGGCTATCGCAAGGGAGTGTGCATCCTGCCTCTCCCTGCAGGATCAGCTGGAGCCAAGATTTTCCCGCTCCATCAGCACTCGGCCATGGATTTTGCCCGGCACCCCAGAACGGGCTGCGATAGGGGGCAGGTTCCTAGGGCCAGACCGGGGGCTGGCATCAGGCTGCAGCTCCTGGAGGGGCAGTTTGGGAATGAGCCCTAACAGGTGCAGCTCAGTGTGCTGGAGTCAAAGGGGCCGGAGTCAAAGGGGCCAGGCTCAACCCCATTACAGCCTGGGGGAAGGTCAACGTGACCTGCAGGCTGGGAGCCCAGACGCCTGGGTTCTCTCCCCGGCTCTGGGAGGGGAGTGGGGACTGGTGGGTTAGAGCAGGGGGGGCTGGGAGCCCGGACGCCTGGGTTCTCTCCCGGGCTCTGGGAGGGGAGTGGGGGCTGGTGGGTTAGAGCAGGGGGGGCTGGGAGCCCGGACTCCTGGGTTCTACCCCCAGCTCCAGGAGAGCCTTAGTCACGTTCATAGCTGGGGGAGGACACACACACACACACACACACACACACACACAGCGAGGGCTGTGGCGAGCCAGAGATCCAGGCAGACGGTGCACAACCCCGCCCCTCATCCACACCTCCCCCGCCCCCTCCGCCAGGTGCCCCGCCTGCCCCAGCCCCGTTAGCAGCCACTCGGCCCCGTTATCCCGCCCTGACGTCAGGCCGCCTCTGGTTTTACCTGGCGGGCCGCTCCGGGCTGAGCCATCCGCCGCTCGCCCTGCGAGTGCGCTCCAGCTCCGTGCGCCCCTGCCCGTGCGCCCCAGCCCCGAGCGCGCCATGGCCGCGGCGGTGGAGGCGGGGGGCTTCTTCCTGGGCACGCTGGGCTGGGGGCTGCTGGGGGTGACGCTGCCCAACAGCTACTGGCGGGTGTCCACGGTGGACGGCAACGTGATCACCACCTCCACCCTCTTCGAGAACCTGTGGCAGAGCTGCGCCACCGACTCCACCGGCGTCTACAACTGCCGGGACTTCCCCTCCATGCTGGCGCTGTCCGGTAAGCGGGACCCCCGCTCCGCGCCCCGTGCGCCCCGGCACGGAGCCCCCTGGAGAGCC